AAAGACAACTCGAACGACTCTGAAAATTTTAATAAACATATGCGAAATGCGTTCATGATGACTCATAATTTCAATTTATAGATAATAAGAAATATTGATCTAAGATCTATTACAATTTCCTGCAGGACCCGCTAGAAATATGATGGAAATTTGATTTCGAATGGTCAACTGACCAACGCCTATATTTAACAAAATGCATTTGTGCAAGATGATGGATATTCAAGATGTCCCCTAAAATTTATATCAATCATCAATGATCTCTCTCATTCTCTCTCACTCTCTCTCACTCTCTCTTTCTGTATTATTAGCCTCTCTTTGAAATGCCTTTCAGCAGATAGTACAGATTACATCCTTTCAAAATTTATAATAATATTATTATTATACAACGATTTGATGAATGTTTAATGTTATCATGTCTTAGCATCGATCGAATTGTTTGTCATGGATTTTATTTAAAAAATCTCATTACTTGTTCGAGTATACCGGATTATAATGCATCTAATCAGAAAGAAAGGTAACGGATATCTATCGTACGAACTTGTATTATTTAGTTAATTAATTATGACTCATTTTGTAGATGCGTGTAAAAATGTTTAACATTTTTCACTTTATCGCGTCTCATCCTATCCAAATTTTATTCTATACCACTATTAACTATTTTAAGTTAATGTTTCAAACGAAAGAAAGAAACAAAAGTTCGAATATAAAAAATGGAGAATGGAGAATGGAAAATACTAAAAATGAAGCATTAATTAAAATTTTGTTATAAAATGTATGTGTACATGTATATATTTACATGTGTGTATATGTAATTAATCTTGCCATATTAACATTATTTTAATTGAAGAAGATTTGATGAGTTGAATATAAAATGAATGAAGTAACGCAATCAAGTAATTGGAAATTTTTAGTGTTTAAATTGAAAAGTAAATAGACAAAGTAATTAAAATTTTGTATAATTTTACAAAGGCATATTATATCATAGTCGTAACAAATAGTAATAATATAATAGTAATGGTAAGTTATTAACATTTCGTTCTAATCATTAAATCATATGTAAATTTATGCATGTATGTGTGTGTATTTTATTTATTTATTTTATTTTTTACTTTTTTTTCTTATTCGAAACTGTCACCGTCACTATAACTTTACAATTGGAGCATATCACTCTTGAAATGATGACAAATGAAGTGACAATTAAATAAACAGACACACAAACAGACAGACAGACAGACAGACAGGTAGACAGACAAAAGTGATTGCATGATTTGTTCGTTATCCAAAGATGTTGAAATGATGCTGAGATACAGGTGCGCTCACAATTGTGATTTTTACTTTTTTGTTATCATAGTTATATACATATATATACTGTTCGTACAATCATATGTACATTATACCTGTTGTTCTATTTATTCTGAATATTATGCAATAATTTCTGCTATTATTATAAAATCACACACTTGGTCTGTTAGTGCCTCTGTTAATGTTGCTATAAATTGATTTTTTTATCATTTCAAATATATTTACGATTTTAAGATATTAATAAAAAAAAAAATAATAATAATAATAACAATAATAAAAAAAAAAAAAAAAAAAAAAAATAAACAGAAATAATTTTTAATAAAAAGCATTTTCATTACGATTTTATTATAAGTACAGGCCGCAATAATGTCAAAGTGCAACCAAGTTTCCCCGATTAAAAGAAATTTTTTTATGTATTTTTTTTTTTCTTTTTTAAAAGTATAAAATTCAGAAATATGAAGAAATACTGCCTGCTATCTTAACAGGTAAAAACATTATAGTCGCGTTAGCGCTGACTATTGAATACCCTACACCACATTGTCTAACACAACAACAACAACTCTTATTTTATCTTATAGAACGCAAAAATTATATCTTCTTCATATATATATAAAGGCATAATTCTAGGGAAGCAGGCCCAAAACGCAGCCTAATCTAGGGCAGGATCCAAAAATAGGTGCACATGGTCTAAATTTTGTAGACTTCATTTTTGTATGGAATTACTATAATATTATCAAGTCAAGTTCGACGATCACATATTGAAACTTAGACTTTTCTGTTCTACAAAGGATCGATTTCCGTAAAAATCTTTATTAGGGTAGGATCGAAAAAATAGCACAAGATGGTCCAAATTTTATATAGTTAAATTTTTTATATTAATTTCCTATTATGATATAATATTTATTGTGAAGTATTGAAAACTATACCTTTTTGTTGTATGAACTTCAGTTTTCGATATATGAGAGGGGGTTCAAAAATTCCAACTGGCCGACAGTTTTTGTACCAATTTAGCAAGGCCGAAATACTATTACTTAGCCATTTTTGCCGAGAGATTTTGAAAATTACAATGTTTGTGGAGTGGTGGATAAAGTGAACCGAGTCGAATTTAATTTTCAATAGCGATCGTGTTTGGGTCATAACATGTCACTGTACCTAACTTCATCAAAATATCTCAAGAATTGCGAGCTGTAGTTTGAATACAAATTTTCATGGACAGACAGTCTTACATCAATTCAGATTACGATTCTGAAACGGTTCGATAGAATAAAAAGTGAGTTTATCTTAAGCCCTTTTTCGTGTTACATACGTTCGCACTAACTTAATATACCCTACCGCAAGTGATGTAGGGTATAAAAAAGTCGAATTTAGATGACAAAAATCATATCAAATTGGACCTTCTTTCGCGGAGTAAGGTAGATATGAAAAATAAAAAACTCAAACCCTTACACTAGATAGAATAATCCGAACTTTTCATATTCTTGGAGAAAGGAATTTTAAATGCAAGTGTAAATGCATTAGCCTAACGCAATGTTCTGTTCTTTCTCTGCGAATCTGACTTTTCGCTTGTAGCCTTCCCCCAATGGCCGGTGTTGACCAGGAGGGATTGTCCTCCAACACAATCTTGACGGTATTGTCGAGCGAATAAAAATGGTCGACCAGAGCATAGCATTTCAGTTCGGAAATAAACTTTGTTAGCAGCTATGGCTACACGATCGCATCTCACTAAACTGTAACAAGAATGTTCCTTTGCTAGGTGAGTATAAAGCTAGGTCACGGATGTCACATATGCATCAAATGAATATCCGCATATTTGTTGCAATTTGTTGTAACCGGGCCGGACAGAACATCCCACTGGATCTATGATAATATTTTCAACTTTATTTAAGCCGCTTATGCATCCAACAAGTACGTGTTATCATGATTACTTTTACTTTCACCGCGATGGCTGCTTGCAGATAATTTGTTCGCCTTGATGTTTTGCGTTGATTCAAATGTCCCTCCTTTTCCTGTTCCTGTTGCTGCGCCAATGTCTATAAATGATATGAATAATCTATGGCTGGTTGCATCCGATTGTACCGGGTGTTAAGAGTACCGGATCGGACAAAAATGTAAGCAGAATAACTTTACCGCATTTCTCAACATAATCCCCGTTTAGCTCAGCATAGTTTTCCCAATGATGCTAACTAGTTTCGATACCTTGCTTATAATGAGAACCGTCGTACTCGGGAAACTTTACTTTTCCATTGTTGAAAAAATCGTTTAGCGCTCTCTTATTCGCGAATAATGCGAGGCGACTAGATTTAGTCCAACTAGAGTCATTCATTTTCTGTGATGAAATTCATTGTCATTTGTCATTTATCATTCTTGAAGTGCTTCGTATACCATGCGTGATTCTTCGGTTTTTCAATTCATTAGTCTTTTTATTCGTGTCTGCATCGAAGCAAAACGCATGCAACTATTTACAATACAATATCTCGTCTTAGACACTTTCGACTGCCATGCCCGTTCGACAGAGAAGTCACTCTATGTATGTATCTTTGCAACTCAGCCAACCATCAATAGTCTTATTTAAATTAGAATATTTGCGTACACTACTTCTATATATATACTATAACGAGTTTTCAAGATAAGGTGTTAGATGGGAAGTGTGCGATCCGAACTATTCTCGATGGTATTCGTTTATATTTTCATTACAATATCTGAAAAATTTAACAAGAACTTAATATGGACAGAGGGACAGACAAGCTTGACTTGATCGGTGTAATAGAAGGTCATGGCTCTATCTCAAGATCTTCAGAGCATTGTGTCATTAGTCGTGTAGCGTATAAAAAGAAGAATCAAAGGAAACGAATAATATTAAGTGTAAGAACTGCTCGTTGACGCAACGCCCTAACCGTTTGTGAACAATAAAACGATCATTTATAAATGCGTATGAGCTATTTGATATTTGATATTTGAACGGAGAAGTACTATACATAAAATAAAAGGAAAAATTAGAGAAAATAAAATTCGCAAACGTAGCCTCGCTTAGGCTGCAAACACAGTCCAAACTGTTGAAGTTAATTTTCTCCATCGTTCGATTGCTATTTAGCAAAGACACCAGCCGTTGTAAAAAAAAGAAGAAAAAAAGGAAAATACAATAAATACTATCTTTGCAAGAGTACAGATGGCGCTTTTGTAAAACTAGTTTATGTCCTTGCTTAGTTATATAAGCTTAGAACCCGCGATAATGAAAATAGAGGGGAATACTTGCAAGTTTATGAGTAAGGTAAGGCAATGTCAGTTTTAGATAAGTATGTGATCATGTAAGAGCGAACCGCGTCTTGAATTTATATATGCTATTTGGTGACTCTTTGACACTCATCGATATTACGTTTTGGCTTCCGTCGTCGAAATATATATTATAAAATGTAATCAATCATGATGGGTTGAGTTTTTTTTAAATCTAAGGAATACATGGTGTAAGGAATCCATACTTGTATCTTTCAACGTGTGACACGCCGTGCATACATATGAACAGGTTACCTTTTAATTTATGTAATACTTATGTAATCCTATCAAGCATGATATAATTTTTGAAATTTTCATGTCACGTTTTTATTTCATTTTATGTAACAATTTAATTAAATCAAATTTGAACTCATCCTTATCTCAATTGCTAATTTTCAATTAATTCAAATTTTATATATTAAAAATATTTGAAAGTCTCTATTTAATTATTAACAATAATTATATTTTGAATATGTACAAAAAGCATAAGAGAAAATGATTAATAACTAACTCAACAAGAGAAGTAAACTTAAAAAACTGAATTAATTGCAAAATTTTTATAATGCAATGCGTTGCGTTATTCTCGCTGTTAGATCGCACTGTTATTTACAGAATTTCGTATTATTTACATTTTCAGTTTTTGTAACAGATTGTAACTGGTTAGGAGTGCTTGTGGTCGTTGTCGATTGAGCTTGAGATTGCGATGAAGTTAAAGGCGATTTTGTTGTTGTGTTTTTTGTTGCTTTTATTGGTTTTATCGTCATCGTTGTCGTTGTCGTTGTCGTTGCAATTGCAGTTGATGTTGATATTATGGTTTCTTTATACGGCCAAAACATTAAATGCACCGGTTTAGTTGTATCTGTATAACGATAAACTGAAAAGTAAGTTTGTATACGTTGTATAATGCGTTCTAGTACCGGCGGTAATTTATGTTCGACGCCATCGCCATAGATTTTCATGTTTAGATCGTGTAACGTAGCAACGCCACCGGCTGATGAAGGTACTTGTTGTATCGCATTCAGCATAATATTGAAGATCATGGTCGGTGTTGGTATTGTATTATTGTTCTCCCATGCACTGTGCCTTAATAAATTAATATTTGGTTCGTTTATATCTGCATCTAGTTCGATATCTGGTTTTCTTGATTGTCGTCGAATCGTTGCTGCATGCATTTCTGCTATTATTACACACAGAATAATAAGAATTATTATTATTAGTTGTTGTTGTTGTTGTAATTGTTGATATTGTTGCAACAATATTTTATACATGCTGTTGTACGGCAAACGAAAATTATTATGACTATAATGAGATTGCTCGTCGAACGAGATTGTTCGTATATGATCAGAGATTTCTTTTTTACACCTTTTAACTTCAAGTGTTAAATTGTTTATGTTAAGTGAATTTTTATTGTCAGACTGCATTAGTAGTAGCTTTAAATACGCATGCTAAGTGAAAAAAATTTAAAAAAAAAACACAAAGAAGAAGAAGAAAAAGCAACAAACAAAACTCTTGTACTCTCTGGACCGGGTAAACTGTTTTTCAAGATTTTAAATGTGTACAACGAATATTTTAAATCGTTTTATATAAACGCCACACAGCCAAGTAAATTTCTCAATCAATATAAACTTTTTTTAAGAGAGAAAATCGTTGAAAATAAATAAAAACTTAACGAGAACATATTTATCGCTAACCGTTGTCACAATATCTGATTGCAAGATATAATGAAAATTCATTCAGCCGATTTATCGTTCATATATCGTATAATATATCTTTACAATCACATATATGTAACTGCGTCCGTCCTATTTGTATTTGTTTCTTCAGTGGTCGAAATCCATATAGATTCTTTCTTCGGGTTTTAACTGATTTTTGAATTTTGATACTGACGTGAAGGTAAGAAACATACTTTCAATTCTCATAAGTTCCACCTTTTAAAGATAGACATGATTAAATCGATTTAGTCTAGATATAGGATCGCCGATGCATATTTGTAGTCATATTTAGTTAGCTCTTTGCGATTGGATTCTTTGCTATTGACCATATACGCCTTCATATAGTGTTGCAATAAGAAAAGCTTTACCAAGCGTAAATAAGACAACGGGTCGACGAGAGTTTCAGGTAAAATTCCAAGTTCAATAATAATAAAACAAACGATTTGGGCTTTTAAGGGCTTGACAAGATTTGTATGTCGAGAACTATCCGCTTTCTAAAGCTTTCGCGGTAAGGAAAGATCACGACTCTTTCACACTCTCTTATTAAAAAAAAAAAAAAAAAAAAAAAAAAAAAAAAATTTAATTTAAAGATTAATCAATCGTCGAATACGAATACGAATAAATAGGACTGAAACGCCCATTTACTCATTATGTAAGTTTTCTTTTTAACGAGGAAAGATTTTTATAAATTTTATACATATCTATATACAATTCTTAGTTTATTAGTCCGTTGTCCATTGCTTTTGTTGCCATACTCCCTACTAGTGAGGACAACGAAACACTTTCTCTCAGAAATTGTAGAAAACACTGATGATTTCTTCATCGTTCGGTCTTGTCAAGTCCCTATTGCCATCGTAGTAGTAGTAGTAGTAGTGGTCTCAGTTTGCCTTGTGCCTTTGACGAACAGTGAGTGTTCAACATTTGAGACGAAAATCATGTATTTTTTTTGGCAATTAATCGCTTAATCGCTTGTTGCTGAGCTATTTCTGCGGTTTTATAAAATGTTTGTTTTTTTTTTGTGTAACTTTTATTTAATGTTTAATGTTTTTATATATATGTAAACATATAAATAACTGGGGTATACGGACGTGTGCTTTTTATTTATTTATCTTTTCTTTTCTTTTTGTTTTTTTTTTTTTTTTTGTTGAATGCGTAACTCGTAATGTTTACTCAATACAGTGAAGTCCGCAAATAGTTGACACACTTAAGAAAACCGAACATGCTGTGATATTGAAAGAAAATTTTTGGAAATTTCATTTACTTCGGGGTTAGTTAGGCACAAAAGAAAAAAAAGAAAAAGGAGAAAATTACTTTATTCCCCCCAATCCCAAGCAAGATAACAGGACGAAAAATCGATATATAAATTTCAGCATTTGTGACTCTGTGCACTATTCCTTGGACGCTTTGTTAATTGAACAAAGTAGTTTACTATAGCCGGTATCAGCCGACCCTAAAGACGATTTGTGAAGAAAACTTCGAAATTTCACTTTCAACCAAACATTAATATGCATTTGACATTATCGGATTTGTCACCATTAGACAAATATCAATTTACTCAAAGCTGTTTTCAAGATGAAATGAAGCTCTTGCGTCTCTTTGCATTTTACATTCACTTTTCATTTATTTTGTGTATTTTATTCAATTCATTAAAATTTTTTTCTCCTCCTTTTGTATATATATATATATATATATAAATACATATATATATATATATTTTCATTTATTTATTTGTTTTTTTTTTTTTTTTTTTTTTTCTTTTTTTGTATTTTTATGTCACTTGTTATGTTTAAATGAATGATAGTTTTCTACATGTATGATGAATATGAGTGAACATGATAATGTGATGTGCTATTGAATGCTATATCGAATTCGAATGCGCCACCAACAATTTAACCCATAATTGCGTGTCTAGCGCGTGCGATCGATGTGTATGTCGATATGTATATTTGTAGTGTTTGTAATGGGTGGGTGATTCTTTCTTTTTGTTCTTGATATTAATAAAACACTTCCTAGGCCACCTTTGAGGATTGAACTTTATCATCAAAAGCGGCAGCGACAGCACCAGTGGTAGTGGCAGCGCCGGCGCCACCCGCAACGGTTGCATCATCAACGGCTGCAGCTGCTTTCAATTGTGCTTGTTGTTGTTGCGGTTGTTGTTGTTGCGGTTGTTGTTGTTGTTGCGGTTGTTGTTGTTGTTGCGGTTGTTGTTGTTGTTGCGTTTGTTGTTGTTGTGGTTGTTGTTGCAGTTGTTGTTGTTGCAGTTGTTGTTGTTGCAGTTGTTGTTGTTGTTGCAGTTGTTGTTGTGGTTGCAGCAGTTGTTGTTGTTGTGGTTGTTGTTGGGATTGTTGTTGCAATTGCGGTTGTCTCTCTTCCAATTCTTGTTGCAGTTGTTTCTGTGGCAATGTTGGTTGCTTTTGCCGCTTTTCAGACTGTTCTTGCTTATGCTGCAACAATTGCTCTTGCGGTTTCTCTTTCTGTAACAGCTCTTCTTGCGGTTGTTGCAATATTTGCTCTGGTAATTGCTGTGGACGAGATTGCTGATAGCCTGAATCCATTAAAGCTTGTTGACCTACGTATAATTACATGAAAATAAAAAAAATTATTATTTTTAAAAAGTGTTTTCCAGCATTGCTTCTCCGTAAGTATTTCGTGTCTTCTGAATTATTACATTTTGAATGTCCCCACTTCTCAGAGATGTTGAGATCGCAGTTAATTCTTCTCCTTTTCTCATTACGTTTTTAATATGAAGAGATAAGTGTCACGTAAGCCTCGTACTTTATATTATTTATGCTTTCAATTGATGCAAGAAACTGTATCGTACCGTTCACCGCAAGCAAGAAAAATGAAAACATTTTCGCTTGATTCGTAATTTCGGCGAAACAATGCCGAATACTCTAAGTTACTAAGTTACAACATTGCCGGTATCGTAATCGTCTTGTTCCGAAGTTTATATCGAGCACCTGGAGACGATCTCTGCAGGCCAATATAAAGGGAGTAGTTTTGATAGCGTTTTTGAGATTAAAAGAAATGGTCCGTCTGCTGGATTGACTAACAAATTTGAACTTGAATTTTTGGAACGATTAGTAGAAGTTTTAAATGTTGAGTTCTCGCTGGTAAGAATATAGCAATGACCGAAAGACAGGCAAATTCATAAAAGCCATCTTAGCTTGATTGAAGCTAATAAAGAAATCCCCTGAGGCAACATGAATGCACTTGAACTGCGGGGATCACATCTTACTGAAATAAGCAGTGGTATGAAGAACAAGTGTTCTGATCGGACCGAACTTACGGTTAGTTTATAAAAAACATATTGATCTGATACTTAACGGAAATATTTGTTCAGATTATCTAGCAAGAGAGACGTTTATTATTGATCGACCAAATTATTTGGTAATAATTGACAAAATACTTTAGGACGAACGATTATGCCTTTCTTTACCTTCTTTATTTACTTTACTTGCCTTTTTCACTGCTTTTGCTTTTTTCATCTTTTATTAATTCCTCTTTCAGCGGTTCCTGTTGTAGTGGTTTCGCTTCTAAATACCGTTTATATTCGATTTTCTCCTTTTGCTCTTCTAATTTTTCTTCGGCTATTGGTTCGGGACTTTGCAGAGGTAAAGCTTGCGGCTTAATAGCTTCAGGTAAAGGAATAGCTATAATTGGGGTTTCATCTCGGCTCGCTTGCAAGCTGCGCGCTCGTAAATGAGCAGAGGCCGGTGCTACGAAAACAGGAGTCTGTACAACGTCAACAAATTGCGGTACCGGACCTGGAGCGATGAAGTAATGATGGCGTGGCTCGTTTGCTAATATCGGACTTAAAGGAATTTCATATTGAATTTTGCTAATTTTTTTAATATTATCATTGCTAGAGCCGTCAGATTCAGCAGCAGGAGGAGCATTAACCGAAGGGTTTGCACTACCGCTGGCCTCGCCGCCGCCAGTACTGCCAACCGCGATTGCTGTGGCAATTTGATTTAAGGCATTTGAAGCCTGGGAAAGTGGATTATCACTAGACTGAGCGATCGGGAAAAATGCGCCAGCTGATGCGAACGCTTCGTTGGCTTGTTGAGCGGCAGTGGCTGCTTGCGCAGCCAATTGTGATGCCGTTTCCGAAAGATTGTTCTGTGGTACAGCGGCTTGTATGGCGTTAACTATTTGTTGGGCAGTAGCTGCAGCTTGAACAATTTGTTCGGGCGCTTGTCGTGCTTGTAGTATTGGTACAGCCTTGCTCGCACTTAAACTGGCCGGTAAAAAGACACCGGTAGCGGTAGCAGCACTTGTTGCAGCGCCAGTTGGTACATAAACAACAGTTTCTTCGTGAGGAGCAGCATAACGAGTAAATGGTGAAAAATGTTGTAGATAAGGACTGGCAGCGACAGCGGGCTCCAAATGAACTTGAGCTTGCGGTGTAACAATGACAATATGCGGAGTCACATCGCTACGTCCTTGTAAGGACTTGGACCAAATAAAATTGGACCGCAGAAGGGTCAAAATTAAAAACTGCTTGAACATCTAAAGCGGCGAAAAGAGAAGGCGAAATCATTAAATATATTCAATGGAAAATGAATGCGATTTAGTCGACTTTCTTTCTTTTTTTGAATAAAAACGAATGAATAAATAGTTGCTCCTTGGAAGCAAAAAAAAACCGATTATACTCGGTTTATGCCGGACGCGTCCACTTACCATAAAAACCAAATTTACTTCTACGCAGTTTTGATTTATTGATTCGTTGTCCGCCATTTCGTCTGTCCGGCATTTGGCAGATGTATTTTTAAGTGAAGAAGAAGAAGTTAAAATTGGAAAGGACAGGCATCTAGAAAATGGAACAAGCCGCGAACCGAAACCAAACAATGCGCTTTATTAGAGTTTTGGTTTGACAACGTCCGTGTCCATTAATTTGAAACTTCATTCGATTATTCATAAAAGCCAATAATGCTAAAAGTTCGCCTTATCGATCTATTGCGTGAGTGTTAATAATTAGAAGAAGAAGAAAAAAAAAAAAAAACGGAAGCAAAAACGCTTTAGAGAGCTACAACCAACCATTAACTACCCTGCCCTATATTTATTGGAGGACTTTTCAAAATAAGGCCTTATATGGGAGGCGATCGAAAAAATGGTCCAATTCGAACGATTTCCAATAGCGTTCGTTCTTGGGCCAAAACAGTGGGTGAGTGTATTAAATTCCATCAAAAATATCTTCAAAATTGCAGCCTGTAAGTTGAAGGGGAAAACTCAAAGCAGACCGACGGACAGACATACTTGAATCAATTCAGAAAGCGAGCGAATCAGTCGATTTATTAACGGTGGATTTATCTTAAGTCCTTTCGAGTGTTGTATACCCATGTACTCAAGCAAGTGGACAAGGATATAACAAAATCGTCCAAGTAAGAGGCGGGAAAGTATTATTTTTTTTTTTTTTTAGGAGGAAAATCCGTTTTAACGGAGCTCAGTTCACTTGTGAAAGCATTTCCGGTATTTAAAGTTAAAGAATTCTTTCGGTGAGAATGCGCTTTTATTGTTTGCAGAAAGGGTAGGACAACAAATTGTCTCAACTTATGACCATAAATGATTTGAAGATAAATTTGAAAATATGATTGTTTTTTTAAACAATGTAGGAATCGTTACATGAACAACTTTAGCTTATCAGTTCTTAATCGACTCAATTTGTGTTTAAGATAATAAATAAAGTTTACAAGACACTGAAATTTTATTTCAATTAAAAATTGATTTCATGTTCAAGACCCTTTCCTAAGGCAATCACATACCAAGCTATATAAAAAGCTTATCTCGTTGTTGGCCAATGCGTGTATGCGTGTAGGTAAAGTGCGTAGAGTAATCTACTTAGTCACCTTTGCCTGTTTCTGAAAATGAAACCAGGCCGACTTGGAAAACTTGGAAAAAATCAATTATAAATATTTTCGCATTTTCTCCTTCTTGTATCTATCGTCTTTTATGAGAACTTTAAACTTGGCCAGCAATTTTGCCTTACTGCAAATGTCAAATATAAATTGCATTGATCGCAACGACGAACATGCTTTTCACGCAAACATCTACAAGGTGCTGCCATCTATGTTTCAATAGCATCGTGTTTTGTTGTTTTTTGCTTGATAGCATGATAGTAAGGTGTTTGACTAAACTTTCCATTCAATGTACAGATATGTGTGTTGACAATAAAATGAAATTATACGCAGAAAGTTGGATCGTCTATCTTTGCGTCTGTAAATTTTTCTTAAATGTTTCTACCAACTTTGAAGTCGATATTTGCGTTTTTGTGACTAGCATAGTATCATCAGTGCCCACCACACACAGACCGACAGACATGAATTAATCGATTTAGAATTGCAAATTGAGCAAAGGGGCTTCGAAGCTTCCTTTTGGATATTGCAAACGTTATGACAAAATGGTTATAGCCTTCGGCTATCCTTCGATGGTGGATGCAAGGCAATATATTATAACTATAGTAATGTATAAAAATATTTGTAACATATAACACGCATGAGACGAGCACAATCTTTTTACTAAATGTTCTTGTATCAATTGATAATGAAACTCGGCTTATGGCAAAAACTCGGCAAAATGCATGCACTCACTAAATTTAAGTCACAGAAGTCTTTGGGTGAATAAGAGCCTAATTTCGTGTACTTTGCGTAAGGAATTATAATTTTAGAATTACATTAGAGGGCGTGGTTTTGGGTATTTAATATTGACCTTCTCCCCATCCCCCCATAACTTGAGCTTACTAGCTAACTACCCAGCTATCACATTATATTTGTTTGAAGAAAATACCTTGAGCTGACATTAAGAAAAAGGAGAAAAAAAAGTTGCTTTGAGCGGTGGACTGAATCCATTAAAAACACCTCGTGAATTATATATTTGAGTGCAAAAGAGAAAAAGATTTCCATGCACTTGATAGATACATTCCTATCAATATTCGATATTAGACGATAAGACAACATATCGTAGGATCAAATAAAAAACAAAAGAGTAGAACTAAACACATCCCTTCATATATGGTGGATAGTATGTAGCATTTTGGTAATCGTGTTGTCATTTTTACCATTTTTCGACCCTAATAAGGAATATTTATGAAAACACTTTAAACATTTCCATATTTTCTTGAAGCATTCATTTAAAAAAATGGGGAAAACTTGTAGTTTCTTGCGGATCGTATTTGTATCGTAATGAGTATGATGAGGGGAACTTCAAAATCAACTAACACTGTCCTAGGGCCATCATGCGATCATGATATCGATAAGCCGACTGCAGGACATAGAAAAGTCAAGTGACTTACCCTATTTACGCTGTTCGAGAACCAAAGACCAAATGTCAGATCATTTTACCTGATATCTAATTATAAAGCTTCTTCAATTATTTTTTGCAAATCGTATGCACCTCCCAATTGTGATTGGTACAATAGTGTTGCATTTATATTTCATTATTATTTCTCAATATTTGAAATATGAATTTTTATGTATACATTAAACTTGAAAAGATAATTGATTATAGGAAAACACTTACCTTGTTTTTAAGAAAAAAAAAAAGAAAGAATTTTTTTTTCTTCAAGAAAATTTGTACTCACAGAGTGAATCAATAATGAATTTAGTTTATATTTAGTCTTAAAAACAATTAACACTTTTTTCTTATCACAATCTTGGCAAAGCAGCACTGAAAGAAATGTCGTTTGATAATACTATACAACACGGATGTGCACTTGACGGCCAGTTCAAGGAAACTGCTGACCATTTCTTACCATCTAGGCCCTTTTATAACATCCAAAATATTTCTCACAACAACAACTAACCATCTATGTAATGTAACAACTATAAATATAAACTTATAAAAAAAAAAAAAAAAAAAAAAAAAAAAAAAAAAAAACAGACCATGAATAAGAATAAGAACAATACGAAGAAGCCACCAAACCACTAACTAGCTTTAAAGAACTAACCTGTCTCAATGCCGTGCTTGGGCTGAGATGCAACTTTTCACAGATCACAAAAGAAAGGTAAAGAAGAAAAACTAAAAATAAAATCAGTAATCACTAAACTATGAAACAACAACAACAACAACAACAACAACAACAAAAAGAAAAAAGAAAAAAATAAATAAAGGAAAATAAAAATAAAAAGAAAAGAAGAATAAGAAGTTCTACAGGCTATTACTGCACTCATACACGCACATCTATGTAAATAAACAGCTAATATCAAATTGTATAAATGATTACAGAATGTATCGAGTTCTTTCTGGTTTTTTAAATACAATACAATACAATACATACACATATAAACATTTGAAAAATAAAAAAAAAAAAATGTATACATACACATGCGTGTATAAGTATGTATTCGTTTATATCAACCATTTTTTATGTATGCTTTTGATTATTAAAGTTAGGATAGTTTTTCTTTCTTTAAATGCATAGAATCGCAAAGGCCTAACTACCTTTGCTTACCTACCTTATCAAATGGCAGATGGTAGCATACATACAAAGGCAAAAAAAAAAAAAAAAAAAAAAAATTATATAAAGAAAATGGTAATTATTACGAAAAACAGTCATACTTATCTATTTTTGTATTATTGAGAGGCTCTAAGAACTCTCTAATAGATAGACACTACTGCTTGCTTAAATTATTCTTGCCTCCTTTCTTCGTCTTCCACGGAGAGTATACATAATTGTAAGGTACATTGCATTTAGTTAAAGATGATTACAAACAGTTTTGAATGCGAACCTAAAGGAGATGTCTAAACAATTACTTACTATAGTTAGTTACAAAAATCTATTATTATTAAAGCAATTTTCATCATAACTGATATCCTATGCTCCTAAATGCTTTTTGCTTTGTTCTATATTATCATCTAACCTCTGTAATTGGCCAATTAAATGGCAATCGGTTTTGCTTTATACACATAAAGCATTAGTATTAGTATTCTAGAAAGAACAGTTTTATTAAAAACTAAAATTTCATTACATTTTTGATTTTTTGCAACAAAATCAAAAAAAAAATAAATAAATAAATAAATAAATAAATAAAATAGATCTATAGCTTTTACTCGACTCTCTTAAGGTTTTCATTAGCTTTAGTCAAGTTTTAGTTTCACTTAAGAAAACCTTCAACCCCTTTAACGTAGGAGGACTCGTTAGTTAATTCGTAGTTAATGAAATAAATTTAATAAACGGAAATGGATTCTTGGCAAAGAACTTGCAATTAATTCATCACGAACTACGCGCAACTACAGACACTGCTGTCATGTGAAAGGCGGCTTGATTTTCCAACAACTTGCATAGATTTTTATTCTGTGTGTGTGTGTGTGTGTGCGTGTGTTTGCGTCAATATACTATTCTTAAAAAAAATTCCTTATTAAAATTGATAAATGTTTTTCATATCATCGCATTTTCTTCCCTCTATACCTTACCTCACTTATGATGTAAAAGCATAATTAAGCTTATGCCGATGTATATATACAATACTCGAAAGGACCTGATATAGACTCGCCTTTTATTATACCCCTTGCTTCTATTGTATCGCTTGTGCGTCTCTCTACCTTGTGTCTGTGCCGTGTGTTCAGCCTATATGTCGCAAATGTTCATATATTTTAATGATAATTTCATGTACCGGCACGTTTTGACCGAGGGAACGAATACAATCGGACCCTTTTTTCGAGCATCTTTCATATAACGAAAAGTTATTATATGAGTAACGAAGTAATGTAGGGTAGTTTATGATGAACCTTGGCCTATTAAAATCTTTTTACTTGTTTCAAAATAAGACATTGCCTAAGGATTGGTTCTGAATGGGATCCGATCCAATATATATTCGATAGAGTATGACCTGGACCTGAAACATTTTTTTTTGCAATAAATTTCATCAAAATGCATGCATGGTCTTCAGATAGACGGATGGACGGACGGACGGACGGACGGACAGACAATTGTGAAATCAATACAGATACTGATCTTGATCACAAACTTCTATTTGAAGACTTTTGAAGTGCTGCTGCATGCATACGCTTAGTGCACAAGCTTAGTGCAACGTTTTTTGTGCAAATGTTTAGACTTCGGTGGATTCAAAATTCACAAAATTACTTTGCAATCGTATAAAAATGAAAGAAAAACAAAAAAAAAAACTTAACAAAAATCGCAGCAACAAATATCGAAACAAACTTAAAGATTTCTTTGCTGACAATTCAAAATTCATTATTCATTTGAAATTTTTCAGAGTAAGCGGCTAGCGGGAAAAATTGAAGATACGTGAAATAGAATATTTTATTTGGAACATTAATTTGCTAAAAACGAAATCATAATAACGCTTTAAAATTAGAACATGGTAAGCGAGTAAAATATTTCATGTGGCGAGGGAAGATATATTTATATATTTATTTGTCGGAAAATTAGTTTCAATTTAGCGGTTTTAATATGATTTTCCCCGAGACAAGCCGCACTTTTAAAGCCTCTTACAAATGCTTCCCAATGTCCATGTTACCGGGTAATGAGCGTCAAGATCTAGACAATGGCGGTAAAAGTAAGTTTGAAAGGAGGAAATGCCGAAATTTCTTCTTTTTTTATATATATATATATATATTTATTTTTTTTATTATTTTTTTTTTATTTTTTTTTTTTTTATTTTTTTTTTTATTTTTTTTATTCATTTAAATGAAATTTTGTATATGTTGGGATAAAAAGAGCGTTTTAAAATATGTTCATAGTAATAATGGCCCCATCCGCTCTGGATACATTAACCCGCTTTAATGTCGAATATCCGATGCTATTTAAGCTGATAAATGTTGAAAAAGAGCGCCAGTCACATGCGGGCGTCTTGGAATTTGTCGCCGATGAGGGTAATTGCTATTTACCGTTTTGGATGATGGATAACCTGTTATTGCAGGAGGGTGACACAATTAATATTGAAAGTGTCTCGCTGCCAGTAGCCGAATTCTCAAAATTCCAGCCGAATAGTGTTGCCTTCTTAGATATCACTAATCCGAAGGCAGTTTTAGAAAATGCTTTACGTAACTTTGCCTGTCTAACCGCTGGCGATGTCATTGCAATTAAATATAATAAGAAAATTTATGAATTATGTGTTCTTGAGACGAAACCGGGCAATGCCGTTAGTATTATTGAATGTGATATGAATGTAGAATTTGAAGCTCCTGTGGGCTATAAAGATGGGCCGGGGCAAAGCGAAGAAAATGAATTAGACGAGGAGCAAAAATGTAATGTTATGGAAGAGGTGGTCGAAACATTCAAAGGTTCGGGTGTCCGTCTAGATGGCAAAAAGAAAAAGGAAAGTCAATTGGATTCGCCCGTGATAAGAAAGGTATAAATCAAATTGAGAGAATATATGCAAAAAATTGAATCATTTAATAAGTAAATTCGTCAATAGGTCTTGCCCCGTGGTGTTCCAGATTATGATTATAAATTTGGCGTTTTAAAATTCGATCGCTCTGCTAAACCAATTAGTGATCGCGTACCGGAAGATAATTGCGAAGCTGCTGCTCCAGTTGAAGATAGTTTTCAAGGTCAGGGTTTTTCCTTGAAAAAATCGCATTAACAAATTGCTTTAGTCTTATTATTATATTTATTATTTAAACATTATTGAAACTAATCGCGTGAATAAACGAATTCGTTTCTCTCGCATATCATGACAAAAGTTGGAAAAGTCAGAGGCAGCGTAATGGGATAGTAAGTATACGGGTATGCTTTTAATAGTAATTTTTCATTGCGTCATCGATTGTCAAGTTTAATACCTTGTATAATTCCGCCGTCTTCTTCTTCGTGTGTGTGTGTGTGTATATATATATATATATGTTAAGCACAAATATACGGCGTCTCCTTACACCCATTCGATCTCCGTAATGTTTTTGAATGCAAAGCTATAGCGACAGTGATCAAGCGGATATGCAGAATACATAGGTGAACAAATCTGTGTATTTATGATTCCGTTTTTATATATTTTCTAGGGGTATTTTTTATTTAAATTAAAAAAGATATACATTTATATACGTATAGTGTATTTTTTTTTTTTTTTTTTTTTTGTATATATATACACACATTATATATATGTATGTATATACATATTTTATTTAAATCCATATCTAATAGAATTTAATTTTAGACCTTTTCCATCCTTTTCGAAAGTGTTTAAAATGACACGCATAACACTACTACAGGGACAGAGTGATATATCATTAATTTCAAATCAAATGCATTTTCCCTTCGATATCTTTAACATATTTAAATTGCTTGCATATTGAGTTTCGTTGAGTATTTGAAAGGATATGACGAGTAATGAAAGGTAAAGAAAAATTTGTGAATTCAAACAAAGAAAAAATTATTGACGACTTTTGCATGTACAATTTCACATGGCTGACACACGATACGATCCACTTGGTAAACGTACTTTGCACTTTACTTATGTCGAAAATACTGCATAAGAAGCGAAGCTTCAAACGTTTTCTTCAGTAAATAAATAAAAAGAAAATTCTTAGCTTAGTCCGATATAGGCACCCCATTCAAGTGCCTTGCCATTTTACTGAGAGAGAGAGAGAGAGAGAGAGAGAGAGAGAGAGAGAGAGAGAGAGAGGCTATAACTTACGCTATAACTTAAAATAATAATAATTCATCTCGTGGTTTCTTTCTAATATTTCTTCTTAACAATCTCTTCAACTCCTCTACCGCCTAAACATTATATTTATATATTTAAATAAATTTACGCAACATTTTCTGTTTGCAATATGCTTTTGTATCTCAATGCCAAAACCTTATTAAACATTATTAAGCATACTTCACCAACATGTCAAATATAAGCAAAGTTAAACATCGAAACCTTATTAAACATTATTATTTTGACTGAACGATTTTTTCAATTCCCTGTCATATATAGTGTTATGGAGTTTTATGATGAAAATAGATCTAAGATAATGATTTTATATACAAACGCTCTTTTTATTTGAATATATATTTAAATTTTCTCATTAATATTTTTGAGTTTATTTTCTTTCATTTTTTTCGCAATTTTTCAATTCCTACAACTGCTTTGTGCATTAAATTAATTTTATAAGCACGGTTTTCTACCCTTGATATCATGGTGGGCGCCATAAATAAATGGTTAAATTCCCTGTTAAGAGCACAGAGTCGCTTTTAATAAATGAATGGTTAAATGCCCAACTTAACAAAAATGTTAACGCCAATCAGGTAATGTTAAAGGCCCAACTTAATCGACAAGAGGGATTCGGTTATGTTAACTAACAGACTAAATGCCCAACTTTACCGACAAAAGGGATTCATTTCTGTTAAATAACAGACTCATTCATTTTTGTTAAATTTCTGTTAAATAACAAACCAAAGGGATTCAATTCTGTTAAGTAAGAGACCAAATTAGCAAAAGCCGTCGGCAAAACAAAAACTTAACATGAACTAACGGACCAACAAAGCAAAAGCCGTCGGCAAAATAAAGGAAAACTTTGGGATATTTAGTAACTAATGTTCATTTATTTTTTATTAATAGGCCTTGTCCGCTGAAATTTGTGAAAATTTAATTCAGCATTTTCTTCTCGGTTTTCAACTTGTTTCATGAAAGCCTTTTATTGGAATTTTTACATTCCTCCAAGCACAAATAATTACAACGTAAATTTCCGATTACAACTATTATCTTTGCTTTGACGTTACGTTACGGATACGTTTTCATCAGAGAAAAGTAAAAAATACATTTTTTTGTCATATAAATGTTTGCTTTTTGTAGCAACGCTAAGTAGAAGGTAAGAGAGAGTATCTAAACCGACACATTTTTATGGGTCGTGTCTATGCTAAGTTATCATTTGCCATCAAGTGAAAGTGGACTGACAAAGTAAAGTTACTACAAACAAAAAGTGCAAACCGCTTTATAAAAATTTCAGGGATACGAAGCCTCTCCAAAGTTTTGATATGGTTTAAAGAAGAAAGAAGAAGAGTGTATAGAGTGTATCCCTACGAGAAGCTTCCATATGTACGTTCCGTTCCTACTAAAAAAACACCAACTTAATTATAAAAAACAAGTGAACAGATAGGAGGACACATAAGTACGTAGAGTGCCTAGATCCCTAGGCGGTAAGGTACGATAAGTGACTTAGGCATTGAAGAGTAGGTAAGATAGGGTAAATATTAGGGGCTAGGCTAAATAGAAAAGCAAATAGATTAAGATGGGCAGAGTAGATAGGACAGCTGGAGCAAATAGATAAGAAATTAGCTTTTATTTGAGATATCTTGGAGATCAATTATATGCTAAATTAATTAATCTCCGAAACAATCTAGAGGCAGTTGAATGTCCTTGCCCAAGCTGGGTGATATCAGCTTACCGCACTGGCAGAAATGTTAACAATCTAGTTGCTATTGAGGAGCGGTCGTATATACACAACGGGAAAAAAGAAAGATGATTAGTTGACGAAGGTAGCAACGACATCTACAAAGTGAAAAAAAAAGGAATATATGAACGGAATGGCAACAAGGATAGGGAAACAATTTGAAAGAACCGTCAACTCACACACCTTAAACCCAAACCTTTAACAGTGGTTGGGGGAGAAAAGACGGAAAAGTAAACATATTCCTAACATAAGTTTTGAGTAGCATGGAAACTTTCCGACTTATTTCCGGCGTTTTAAAGATGGAAGGAATGGATGCCAGTTTTTTGTAAGAGATTCTCGGGAATAAAGCCACATGTAGGATGTAGGATTGTGTATAGCGAGAATCAGCGATACGTAAGGGTCTATCTTGAGATCATACGCAATGAGTTCCGCGATGATTCTATCCAAATATCGTAGAACCATTAATTGGCAGTGCCCTGTCGCTGCTTCCATAAAGAAAAACCTACATACCTAGTTAGATACTTAGCTACGGAAGCTTTTCATGACGACGCAATGATGAGGCTGCAACATAATAATTCGATATCTCCGAAAGTCACTACAAGTCTTATATATATGTACAGGGGGTGGTACATATGAAAGGTTTTAGCGTCAATCCAATTATAAGACTGCAACAAAAATACGTTTCTCCGATACTTTTGAATACATCTTGCAAGATATATCGAAAATATGAAGTGGCCTGACTTCCTTACATTTATCATATTGCATATATGCATATATATATATATATACATATATATATATATTTGCAACATACTATGTAAATTGTGATTTTTCTCCGACTATATATGCTTGCCTTATGATAAACAGTGCCAATGCCGCTGACTTATTAATTACGTTAGCAAAATGATGAAACAGTCTGAAGATAACCTGCTTTGGGAAGCCACGCACGATGGGATACGTGTTCGATGATTTAATGTATGATCTTTACCAGAAGAATGCAAAAACTGATGTTGAAAATTTATTATGTTATATGTTAAAGCTTCCGCACGAGCATTTTTTTTTTTCTTGGCGACTTTATTAACTTGTAAATGGGTGGAATTCAATGGAATGGAATAAAACTGGATTGGGCTACCAAATGAAATATAGTTAAAATCAAGACTCATCTTCCTCGGGTCATAACGTACCATTTATTTATTGTTCAAGCGATTACCGATAGCAAGCGAGTTGCAGCTTAAATTTACCTTTAGAATTATTTTTTAAATCCTTTGATTACCCCTTTGATTGCGTTGACAAAAATATATTGAAATTATTCTTTCTTGTTATATCCTGTCTATCCATATGATGCTATCGAAGATGATTTTCGAATTTTCCAAACACAAATATCATAACACTTTTTCTTTTTCTTCTTCTTCTTCTTATCAACTTTTACATATTTTATTGCATTTATTCTATTTCTTTCGGAATTTCTCGGTCCCAAGTTCTTCTGCTGCCACAGCCGTTAAATAAAACAAATAATTTCATCCTTTTTTCTGCTCTTTTTCTTCTTCTGTTCGTGTATGCATATATACATATATATACATATATATATATATACATATATATATATATATATACATATATATATATTCATATATATATTTATATATTTATACATTTATATATATTTATATATTTATTTATTTATTTATTTTTTTTTTTGTTTTTCTTACAATAATTTTATTATAATTTTTTATTGAAAGTTTTCTCTTTATTTCTTATTTTTAAATAAAATATTTTTACTTTGATTAATGATATTAATTTAGACATATTTATACATGCAAATATATATATATGTATATATACGTACATGCATAGATATAACCGTAATCACCTATATATGTATATGCATACACATTCACACAAACGTATTTATGCATTTATGTATGCATACACATATATATAAATATATTCTTATATACATATAGGATTTATATATATATATATATATACATATGTATATATAAATATATATATATATATAGATATTTGATTTATACACAATTCCCATTAACAAGTGCAGGTAATTAATTATTCATTTAATTGTCATTACTTTTTAATATAAATTTTAATTACATTTACGTACATTTATCGAATTTTTGGTTTTTTTTTTTTTTTTTTATTCGAATTTTGAAATTTCCTTCAAATTGAGTAAATAGAATAAAAAATAATAAATATATATATATATATATATATA